AGAGAGAGAGAGAGAGAGAGAGAGAGAATTCTGACGTGCTATTAATTGTATTTGCTTGCTTTCTTAGTACTGGAAATTGAGTTTAGTGTCTTGCACACATTAGACACATCCAATCACTGAGTTATATCCCCAGCTCTCTTTTTAATTTCTTATTTTATGAGTTTCTTATAAATTTTTTTATAAAATTTTATAAAAATTTCCTATAAAATTATAAAGAAATTATTTATTTCTGTTTCTTAAGACAGCATCACACTAAATTGCCCAGGCTGTCCTTGAACTCACTCTGTAGTTCAGAGAGATCTTGAAATGGCCGTCCTTCTGTCTCAGGCTTCTGGTACGTGGGATACAGGCGTGCCTTAGCAAGGAGGCATTTGTACTGAGAATGAACCTAGAGACTTGGGGTTGGTTTTCTGCTGTGACTGTAGCAAAATACCAGAGGGAACTAACTTTACAAAGGGAGCATTTGTTTGGGTTCACAGTTTTGCAGGCGTTAGTCATTGGTTGACTGGCCCTGTTGTTTGGATCTCTAGTGAGGCAGGCACATCATGGTGAAGTGCATGAAAGAGGAAACTGTTCATCTCATGGTGACTGGGAAATGAGAGAAAGAGGAGGGGGTGGGATTCTACAATCCCTTCAAAGGCGGGCCTCCAGTGATGTCACTTCCTCCTACTAGGCTCCACCTTTGAACAGTCCCAGAATGCCCTAATAGCACCACAGGCTGGGGAATAAACTTCTGTCTGGACCTATGGGTGGACCTTTCAAGTCCAAATGACGGCAAGTTTTCTCCACTGACTGCCTTCATTATTTCATTGGAAAAGGTGAACTGCTAGCTAGGCATGGTAGTGCACACTTGGAAAGCTGAGAGAGGAAGATAACTTCAAGTTCAAAGCATAGTAAGATACATAAGGAAACCCATCTCAAAGACACAAACCCAGGGTCTGAAGTGATGGCTCAGTGGTTATGAGCACTTGTGCTGGCAGAGGACCTGAGTTCAGGTCCTAACACCCACATGGTGGCTCATAACCGTTCCTGACTCCAGGTCTGGAGGATGCAAGAATTTAAACACATTAGTGATTAACTCTGAGTCACCAATAATGCATCGGTGTCGCTTTAATAAAAGAAACGAAAGAACTTCCCCCTGGAGTCATATAACCAAGAATGTGTCCTGATTAAAATTCTCTACTTCTTTTTTTTTTTTTTTTTTTTTTTTTTTTTTTTTCCGAGACAGGGTTTCTCTGTGTAGCTTTGCGCCTTTCCTGGAGCTCACTTGGT